TTTCTAAGATTGTGAAACTTTACAGAAGTAGACTGTGACAACTTTCTCCTGCAGAATGACTAGTTGCTTCAAACCACCAACTGTATGATTAGAAGCTGAGGATAATCACTTTATTAACAAGTCTCCTCATCTGGGTAAAATGCAGTGCCCACAACTTTCCCAAACCCTGGACCTCATAGAGATTCCATTCTATCTAAGGGAAGCAGAGACAAAACAATAAGCAAGGTGATTGAAAGTGAGAGTGTTTCATGATGAATATGCTAAGAAGAAAAAGAATAAATGAAATACCAACAAAATATAGTTATTTCAAATTCAAGTTTTACATTTGTCTATTCATATACATATATTTTGGATAAAAAGTAAAATTATTTTGGGATGTAGACACAGTTTTGATAAATATAATAACTGGCTGGATCAAGAAGAAGGAAAAATTCACTCAAAAGTAATAGATCTATTAGAAAATAAAATGAAAACAGTATGGTAATAACATGTTTTAAAATGGAAACACAAATATAATAATATATTGCAAACACATATCACTCATCTTAAGTATTAATGGCATGGATAATATGTTACTGGATTAATAATAGATACTAAAAAAAAGGAAAGAAATATTGTCACAAAAGTGAAGTATATGATACTTCATTAAACAAGGTGTTACAGTACAGGACTTAAGACTAAGAAGTATATTGTTTCATATTCTGAAAGGTACAAACAATATGCAGAAAATTATTTGTTTTCCTGAAGAAATTCTAATAAATGGTGAAATAAGTTAACTTTTCTAAAACAAATTTAGCTTTAAGAGAAAACTGAATTTAGTGATATGTACTGTGAATTTTAGAAAAGCACACTAAAAGAAAATATTATTTAAAAACATAGCAGTGACTTTATGGCCTACAGCTATAAGAAGAAAGGTATCTTAAAATGGTTGAGATTCTTTTAAACATGTACTTCGTACATAATATAGATAATATTTGAAATGAAGTAAAGTAAGTGGCAATAAAAGAAACTGAAGCCATTGCATAGGACCTCCCTTAGATATTCTGATTTTTAGACATTAAAACAAATGTAATCAAGGAGACACATGAGAATATTTTTTTGTCTTAATAAATTAATAAATTCTTTAGACTGAAAGAATGGAACATATATCTCATATTTAAAGTTATATACAAAAACAATTGCAACAAGATATCAGGATATTTAATAACAATTGAAAAAATGCCCAATGATTTAATGGGATTGTTTGTCCATCAGCCAAAGGAAGGTTATCAGTCGATCCTGAGGGACTAAATGAAGGGAATATTGGAGTGCAAACTCCAGCAATACATAGATGGTGAACCAGAAATTTCCCAGTTTCTTTTTAATACTGAAAGACCATGCAATTCAATACTTCTTTTCTTGATATTTCTTTTCAGCCAACATTCATCTCATTGATTATACAAGCTTCAAATAATTTATTTTTCCATACGTCCAGGTACTGTTGACTTCTAGGTCACACACTCATGACTTTGCTGATTTCTTGCTTAAAAAAATATTCCACTGCTTCTTTTGCTTGCTAATTTACATATTTCATAGAGTTATGTTGCAACTGGGGCCACCAAATTTTACTCGATGACTTATGATAAAAATGGGTATTTTATTATTACATCAATTTTCATACATAGAGATAATTTCTTAGAATGAGGACTTGAACTCAGAAAAGAATATTGTCTGAGTAGAATGCCTGGATTTCCTAAACTGGCTAAACTAGTCCATTTACATTGAACCACAAAGATATTATGCCAAATGAGCAAACAAACAGAAGTCAGATAACTGTTTTACTGATCTCAGGAGAATGAAGTTTCAAATTCTCCTTCTTCAACTCATTCCTGCATTTATTTATCAACTCCCACCTCCAGGAAATTGTTGTTTATATCTAGCCTAAATCTTTCATTCTCTAGTATAAACTCATTTCCTGTCTCTCGGTTCTCTGCACCTGGGTATCCCAACCACTAGAGTGATTTTATTTTCCGCAAAATGAGAAACAGAAGTTAATAAGGTCATATCAACTGTACGGATCATGTGCAATGCTGGTCATAATGATGGACTCCCAGAAGCATCATAAAAGCGTTGCCAGATACTCTTGCTATACTGAAAACACATTTATTTTGATAATAATAACATTCCCAGTTGGCTCCACTAAAAGATGTTCACAGCCACGTGTTTCCATGTGTTGGATGAAAACTGTTATATGAAAGTGAAATATGCTTTGAGTAGATCAATAATACTGTACAAACATTTTACACATAATTTTCTGATTCTTACTATAGTGTGGCAGTGGTTTTTGGTCTTTGCTGAACAGATGGATACTATAGCAATGTACCAGTGGAAAGATAAAATTTATTTTTTTAACTGCTGTAATAAAAAATGATTATGAATAATTTCACACTTTTCAAATATATACAATTTAATTTTCTGTGTATTTTTCATAACTCTTAAAATGTACTTTTGAATTGATTCTGAATTTTTATGAACAATTTAATTATGAATTACTGCATTGAGAGAGAATGTGTGACCTTACAATAATGATCTTCATATAATAATTATAATTTCATATTTACATTTCCTTCAGTTTATATTTAAATAGTTTGGATGACTGAAGGAAGCAAGATCTTCCTGTCAGATTTTAAAAAGGTAAAACTGATTTAAAATAAAAATACATGCCACAAATGATAAATGCAAAAAAGTAATATCAGATGGCTGGGACAGGACCAGGCTATGTTTCATTCTGTTTTACATAGGGTTGCTATGAGTTGGAATGAACTCAACAGCATCTAACAAAAATAACACTGTAGAAACACACCTTTTTTATGATCTTCAACACTATGGTAGCGTTCATAGCTAGCTGAGGTTCAAATTAGTTAGTTCCACGGGTGGCAGAAACCCTGAGGCCTGAGAGAATTCTGAGCACACAGGTTTCAATTATTTTCCTTGAATGGCTTATCCAGCCTTGAACTCAGCATGAGACAGTGGCCTTGGGAGTATGATGCATGCAGCCATGTAATTATGAATTTAAGTATATTTTCCTAATTAATTTAAATATACTTGAGGAGCTTACGTGGCTTGAAACTTGGCATTGTCACTAGATAGAATCAAGGCCCACTGAGGTGAGAGAGTTGATCTTGTAATTCATGAGCTTTTAAAAGATGCCTTTTGGTAGAGAAACTCTAATTCTCTATGTTCCAAAACTTGGGAAAAACTGAAAAACTCTATGTTTTATCTCAAATGAGCATTATTATTATTATTATTAGGAACAATGAAGTTGAAAAAATTGCTGTCATCGGCTGCTAGTTTGGCTAATAGTTATAGCAGCATAAAAGATTTTGCAGGAATACAAACATCGTCTCTACCATTTGGTAGATGATTCATTCATGAAGCTAGGACTCTAGTCAGGGAACGTGACTACAGGGCTCAAAAGAACAGAAACACCAGGAGCAAAGTTTGTGAGCTCTATTTGCATTTGTGATTAAATATTCCCAAAGGGGAGGGTGAGCTGAAACATCACCTGAGACAAAGGATTGGTTCAGATGCATTAAAAGGGAATTTCATAAGTTAATAGTTAGCCTACTATCCCACAACTCCACTTCCATCCACTACCAGCCTCACATGTTTTGATCCATGGCCCTGAATCTCTCCGTAAGACCAGTTGTTTTCTCCAGTCCTGGACCATATTGACTCCACCCATCTTTTATTTGCCTTTAGGATTGTTTTTGTTTTTATTTATTTGATAAATATATTTCAACATTTGCACCGAATTGAAAAAAGTGGAATCCTTGTTCAGCTCAGATTTCACCATGAACATGTACATTTTATCATGAATTACACAGTTAACATTTTTCCTTTCTGGAAATTTAGCCTTCCTGCCTCCAGATCCTTGGACACATAACAGTCATGATGTCCTACACGTATAGAGTGATGTTGTCTTCACCTTCTCTTTTGAGATTTTGAGTTAGAAGTAAATGCCAGTGGATTCATAAATAAATAAATAAATATACATCAGAGTTTTAAAAAATAGAATAATAGAAAAACTACGTAATATAGGAAGTCAGTGAAACATAATAGTGAACTCTAGACTTATCCCTGAGGATGCAGAGTTCTAAAGAATAATGGTAACCTGGTCAGCAAGTGAAAGATAACTGCTTAGATGGGAAATTATCTGAAGTACTCAGGCAGAGGTAGAATGGTTTAAGAGAAGAGTATAGAGATGTAAATATTTAGCCAGATAATATAAAATGAACAAAAATACATTGCTGAAGCAGCTAATAATATCCAGGTAAGTCATACTTACAAGTTTATTGTACAGATAAAATAAGATGAAACAAAATTCATCAATCTAGTTTCCATATAATGACAACCCATAAATTACACAATCAAATTTTGCTATCAATTTATTAATTTTCATTAAAGAATGATTTAACGTCTGATTTATATTCTATATACCAGGTTTGTGCTCTGAAAGCATGAAGTTACAGTCTCCTGACAATAGACACTTTGTCCCTGCAGCACAGGGGAAATTCCAGGGTTTAGCTTCAGTCGTGTAGTACGTTACAAATGAGCAGGCGTAGGGGTAAATGCTCTATATGTTTTGTTTCATAGCTGTCTCTGGTTTCTAATATAAACATTAATGTGGAATATAATCTCTAAAAATAGATTTTACCCCTTAGATCCCAAGATATAACAAGCAAGAATTTATGCTTATTGGTTAAATGTTTTTAAATGAGTCGAAAGATTGTTCCCTCTCATTACCTAAATTTCCCACACTCAAATTGCATGTAGTAAAATCATATATATGTCATGACCAAACATATTGAATGCAGACTTTAAAAGATCATCATTAGAATATAAGACAAGTACTTAAGTAAACATTAAGGCAAATCACTTTTGATTGAAATAATAAAAACAACAGAGCTGGATTGTCTTTGAACCAAAAGCAATAGGTGTAAAATCATGGTGGTACTTACCACAGTGAAATTCATAACTTTCAATATCCATATTGTCATGGCTAAGTTAACTATCATGGTAACCAACAGCAGAAGGACAAAGAAGTATAAGCACCTCTTTCGCCATCCATAAATTCCCACTGGATAAAGTTGTGCATTCTCAGTTCTTGGCAGGTTATTCTGTTGTGTTGCTAGTATGTATTGTTCACGTGTCATCTGGGAAGAAAATGAAAAAAGAAGGAAAGAAAGTATTACAAGCATTCAAAACTAAAACCAATGCTGTTTTTATTATTTAATCCAAAGACATGATAACAGTAATGAATATATAGGGAATGGTTGATTAATGGTTTCTGTGTAATAAAATGTTACAAAACCCTCAAGTCATTATCATCAAAGTTGCAAATTAGTGTTAAGTGATTATTATGTCTACAAAATATATATTATTTATGATCAGTTTTGTCTAATCCTAACCCTCCTTTCAGAAGGCTCTGAGGACTGTCTGCTCTACTTGTATCTATAACTATGGAATTTTATCCACACTGAAGCTACTTAGAATAAAATTATCTGCTTTTTAGGTTAGACAGAGATCAATTTTATCACAAGTTCTCTCAGGAACTCTCTCTAAATATGCAGATATAAGTAGCTAAGTATAAATGTTTAAAAAATATTTCAATAAAAATTTATTTGTAAGAATATATGAATGAATATTTTCTTTCAAATTGTATAGTTCTAGCTAATTTTAAAAATTTTCAGAACTTTGTTATTCATTCATCTTTCAAGTGAGTTAGAAAAAAATAGGAATTTAAAGGAACACAACAATATAGCATAGCATAACAACATATAGGAAAGAATAGAATAAACATGATGGTTGGGTAATCTGCTTCCATAGTGATACCACCTAGAAAACCCAAGGAGGGGTCACTATGAGTCAGATCTGACTCAACAGCATTGGGTAGTGGGTTGTAAGCAGAAGCCAGTTTAGGAAAAATGGAGATGGTATTTCTGTGTAACATACAAATTTATGTTCAAAAATTAATTTCTTTAAAAAGTAACTGGTCTAGTCTGTTACAATGTATACATATCAATAAGAAAGTTAAATAAAGTGTAGTGGATATACAATTTTTTAAATTAAATTATTTAGGTATTTATTTCCTGAGAGCTCAGATGTTTAATTTTCATAAAATATGATTTTCAATAAAAAAAAAAATTATCTTTTTCTTTTAGTTCTTCTCTGCTAACTTTCCTTTGAATGTCAATTAAATATTTAGCACATCAACAGAAATAATACTAAATAATTTTCACAAAAATAAACACAACACTAATAAAGAAGAAAAAATAACCTTAAATAAAATATATGTGACACAAATTAGTTAAAATAAAAGTATTAAACTATAGTATTAATTGATGAAATTCTACTCTAAATAATGTTGAACCATATATTTAATATTCAAAACTATAACTTTAATTTATTTTAGGGTTGTCCCTCGCTTTTGTTTTAATTTTATAGCTACCAAACTCAAAACTGCAAGTGCAGTGCTAAATATTGTTTTACATTATTTTTTGAAGCATATTGTTGTTGTTGTTATTATGTGCCGTTCAGTCAGACCCGACTCATAGCGACCCCTCCTTGGGTTTCCAAGGCAGTATCACTACAGATGTAGATTGCCCCATCTTCCTTCTGAGGAGTGGCTGGTAGGTTTGAACTGCCAACCTTCTGGTCAGTAGCTAGGTGCTTTAGGCACTATGCTACCAGAGCTTCCTTTTGAAGTATATCATCATTCATTTCATAAAAATATTTATATGAGTTAAATAATAACTTTAAATATTAAATTCAAATAGTAGTAGATGACCAATAGCAAATTTAAATATAAAGAATTACTTCCGAGGAATTATGGTAAGATGGTTGAATAGTCATACAAACTACACACACCCTCTTCAACAAAGAATAGGGGAACCAATTAACACAGATACAGAAGATAATCCTGGGGCCCTGAGCTTTGAAAGGAAGGATACAGAAGTGGACTAAACTCCAAATAGAAGAACCTGCATGAAAACACTGAAAAAGGAGACATATGGAGCTGCAGACTGTCAGCAATCCTGATATCACGGAAAGCTTGGACACTGCCAAGTGGTATAAGGGCCTAAGAATGAACCTAAAAATCAGCCCTTTTAGCCAGGGGCTGCACAGAGCACCACACTGGTGGCTGGTGAACAAAAGGGGAAGCAGCGAAGTGGGAAACAGGCTGAGCTGTGGACTTTACTTGTCTGGAGGGTGCAGCCATTGTGAATGTTCACAAGTGGTTTGACTATTTTAGATATTTAAAGCAACAGCATTTTCTCAGATTCCAGGCACCTAAGAATAGGCTCCACTTGCCCGGATGGCAAAGACATTCCACATACGAAGAGATTGGAAAGGTATGAAATTCTTCTTGTTGCTCTCATACCCAACACCCTCTTGGTGAACAGAAGTATGGTCATCCCTCACTCCCAGCACCTTCTGGGCCAGCAGGAATTCCATCTAATTCTGTGTGCTTGGATGGAGCCTGGGTATCCTTCACTAACCAGATTTTTTTCCTTTTTTTTTTTTTTTGGTTAGTTTCTTTTTGTCTGTTTTAAAATTATTATTATTAATATTTTCATCATTTTTATTATTATTCTTTTTTCTTTCCTTCCCAGGTTCTAGTTTTTAGCTTTTTCTTTCTTCCCTGTTCCTGAATCCCATTTTTTTCTTTCTCTTTCTCATGGCTCTCCCCATTCCTTGTTTTTCTTTCCACATTTTTCTCATTTTTTTCTTCATTATTCTCTTACTGTACCTTTTTTCTCTTATTGCCCCCTTCCTAGATATTGCTTTTTTTTTTTTTTTTGGTGATTTTTCCTGTGTGTTTATGCAGTGTTTTTTTGTCTGCTTGCTTTTACTTTTTTTTATGGTTTTTTGATTCTTGTTTTTGTCTGTGTGGGAGACAGCAACAGTACCCATATGGTGCAACCACACCCACACCTCCTGAATCTCCACTTACTTAGTGAGACCCACCATTGCCTCTTCCACAAACTGGCTAGTGATAAAAAACCTTGGTGGTTAGAATAGCCTGGCTCACCCTTAACTGCTCTTCACAAAGAGTTAACAGAGATCTGATACAACAACATCACAATAACTTGGATAAAACAGACCATCGCAGTCCACACAAAGAAGCAAGGTAAAGCAGTAGAAACAAAGCAGAATACAAACCAAGAACATATCCTGAGGAAGAAGCAACATTGGAACTCCTTAATAAAGAATTCAAAAGAATTATACTTAGGTATCTTCAAATGATTGAGAGAAAAATCAAGGAAAACATTAAAAAAAAATTAAAAAAAAAATACAGACAACATCCTAGAAAAATTTTGGAAGGAATTATTACAATAATATTGAATAGCAGAGAAACACTGTCTCATACATTACTGTGCAGTTTTATGAATAGCCAGAAATGCTGTCCAGTACAATGCAGGAGTACTAGCCACTTAGGTTGGAAGGCTAGCAAAATACAACTGAGAAAGAGCTGCATCATCAGAGTAGAACCAACCTTACTGATATGGATAAATTAAAGCTTTCGAGATCTCTATTTGCTGATATGGGATGACTCAAAGTGAAGAGAAACAGCTGCAAACATCCATTAATAATTGGGACATGGAATATATGAAGTACGAATCTAAGATAGTTGGAAGTTGATTATTACTGGTGATTGGAATGCAAAATTGGAAACAAAGATGAATCACAAATAGCTGCAAAACATAAATTTTGTGATAGAAGTGACACCAGGAGCTGACCAATGACCAAAACCCAGAGGAATTGTAAGATGACATAAAGAACATTATCCATGAATAAAGTAAAAGGTAATTAAAAAGACAGAAAAGGAAGAAAAGACCAAAAAGAAAGTCAGAAAACACTCTGAAACTTGCTCTTGAATGGAGAGTAGCTAAAGCAAATGAAAGAGACATGATAAAAAAGCTGACCATAAAATTTCAAAGAGCATGTCAAGAAGACAAAATCAGTTATTATAATGAAATGTGTAAAGAGCTGGAGTTAAAAAAAAAAAAAAGTGAGATAATACACTCACCATTTCTTAAGTTGAAAGAACAAAAGAAAGAATTCGAGCCACAAGTTACAAGATTGAAAGATTCTATGGAGAAAATATTGAATGATGCAGGAAACATCAAAAAAGACAGAAAGAATACACAGACTCACTGTACCAAAAACAATTGGTTGATCTTCATCCATTTCATGAGGTTGTTGTTGTTGTTGTTGTTAAGTGCCGTCGAGTCATTTCCGACTCATAGCGACCCCATGCACAGCAGAACGAAACACTGCCCGATCCCGCACC